ATGTCTTCACCAAAAGCGCACAACACGGCTATCGTATTGACTCTCAAGGCACTCTTTTACGCACTGAACAATCCCCTTTCTGTTCGAGCATTCGGATACAGGGTCAGTGCTCCATATACCATTGCACCTGCGCACAACACTTCACCTGATTCTATATCCCCTCTCGGATCATAGCTTTTGCGTCTATCAACACTGCGCCTAGCTTCCTGAGGTCTACATGGAGATCTATCGTCGACCCATGCCTGTGACCCCGAGCCTTCGCGACAGCAGCATTCGATATTTCACTGTCCCCATCGAGACTCGAACTTCGGATTGACTCATACACCTGTTGGACTGGGGACGACTTTCCCGCTGCACCACAAAAGCTCTCAAGCATTCGGATACAGGGTCAGTGCTCCATATACCATTGCACTGTTGTGTTGAGACGTTGATTGTTTCAGGAGCTCATTGATGATGCGACGATCAGGGGCCCAAGCTGACACGCTGGCAGGTTGAGGACATAAGTAGAGCGGCTGCGCTGCCTTTAGTCTAGCAGAGGACTAGTAAACTCAAGAGGTAGTATGAGCCTTGCACTACCGCGCGCAATCGAGCCAACAGAACGGGTCAAGGAGCACCGCGTTGAGGCATTCAGCGGCATTCAGCTGATCCAGTACAACGGAGACTTTGCAAAATGGCGAGTCTTCAAAGACAAGTTTGAGGCTGGTGCACAATTGACTGGAGTGTTGGACTACTTGAAGAAGCCGAAGAAGGAGATCTCAGACTGGTCTGAGGAGAAGGAGATGGTGGCGCGAAGGGCCATCATCACGTCGTTCGCTGACAAGGTATTTGAGACGATCAGCGAGTCAATGGTCACCACCCCAGTCGATGAACTGTACGCAGCCTTGTGCGTGAGCTGCGTCATCAATACCTCGCAGCGCATCAAGGAATTGAAGAGGGACCTCTGGGCTCATGTTGCAAACGAGGGCGACGACATCAAGGTGCACTTTGCCTTTGTGGATGGGCGAGTTGCTGAGCTGCGAAGTGCCGAGCATCATGTAACCAATGCTGAGCACATTGACTTTTTGTTGGATGGGCTTCCAGCCGTCACCGCCTGGAGCGCCTTCCAGAACGCATACCGAGCCCGCGTCACTGAGACCACGAGGGTGGACCAGGTCCGCCAAGACATTCGTCAACAAGCGGCAGTGCTCGCGAATGATGCACAGAAGCAAGCCAGCGCCCAGGCACTCTTGTCGCAATCGTCTGGTGGCAGGGGAGGTTGGAAGCGCAACGCTGGTGGCCAAGCAAACAAGAGCACTGGTCGAGGCAGTGGACCCAGGTGCTACCGATGCGAAGAGTTCGGCCACATCCGAGCAGATTGCCCCAAGATGCTTGTCGACAAGCCCGTAGAGGGAGGTAGTGAAAAGAAGTTTGTCGCTTGCATCGCTCCAGAGACACGAGTGAACGAGACCGCCACTGCGCTGCATGCCTATGGCTCGACGAGCGCTGAACAGCAAATCTCATGGGCTGTCGACAGCGGCGCTTCTCACCATGTGGTCAGCTCGATAGATCTCGTCCAGCCAGGCTCTTTGCGATCCGGCCGTGGACCTCGAAATGTCAGCTTTGGCAACGACACGTCGGAGGTATCGGAAGGGTTATGCACAGCAATCATTCCGACTATTGACGGCCCTTTGGAAATGCCTGATTGCATGTTCGTGCCAGGCCTCAGCTTTAACTTGCTGTCTGTCGGGGTGCTTGCTGGTATGGGCTATCAACTATTGTTTGATGAGAACAAGTGGCGCTTGATGTCAAAGCATGACGGCCGAACAGTGGCGGAAGGGCCGAAGCGCGAGGGTCTTTTTTGGCTTGATACACCTGATTCGTCGCGTTTACTGCACGCCAAAGCAACAGATGTGGAGCTTTGGCATAGGCGACTTGGTCATCCGGGCATTGTTTCAATGTTGCGCCTCGAGGATATGGTCACTGGCCCAGATATTGGAAAGCTTACGCCAAATACTGCGGATTGTACGGGTTGTCAAAAAGGGAAACAGCCAAGATTGGCGTTCCCGAAAAAGTCAGAGTCTCGTGAAACAAAGCTCTTGGGTCTCGTGCACAGCGACCTTGCTGGCCCATTCGTGCCATCTTGGTCGGGCAAGCGCTACTATGTGACCTTTGTCGACGATGCGAGCCGGTACACACATGTCTACTTTATCAAGCAGAAGTCCGAAGCATTCGAGAGATTCAAAGACTTTCAGCATGAGGTCGAACGACAAACTGGACAGAAGCTGAAGATCCTGCGCAGTGACAATGGCGGCGAATATGTCAGCAATGAGAATGACAGATACCTGCGAGAGATGGGTATTGTGCATCAACGCACTGTGGCCGAGACACCTCAGCAGAATGGCGTTGCAGAACGAATGAACCGCACGATCAAGGACCATGCAAGTGCAATGCTTCATGAGGCTGGCTTGAAGGACAAATTCTGGTCCTACGCAGTGCACACTGCTGTTCATTTGTGTAATCGCTTACCCACTCGAGCTCACGAGAGCATGACGCCATACGAAGCCTGGAAAGGTATCAAACCCGACGTCTCCTACTTGCGTGTATTCGGCTGCCGCGCTTGGGTGCACACACAGCAGTCAAAGTTGAAAACGTTTGTGTCCAAGGCAAGTGAAATGATTTTTGTTGGCTATCCGGACCAGGTCAAGGGATACCGCTTCTGGGACCCAGAATCCAAGAAGGAGCGTGTATCGAGGGATGCCACGTTTGTTGAGGACCAATTTGGTCGCAAGGGGATACAAGAGCAGGTGGAGCAAATGGAGACAGACGACGATGAAGTGCGTGTCGCTCCGTTCCTTGGCTCTGTGACTCATGAAAGCGAGGTGGAGGCAGAGATTGACGGCAACGCAGAAGGCGGTGAAGATGGCGACGGACGTGGTGATGACCAGAACGAGGATGCCAGCAACACAGGAGACGGTGAAGACGGCGACGGACGTGGTGATCACCAGAGCGACGGCAGTTTTGGCATCTCGACAAATTTGGACGACAATCTCTCTGGCCTCAGTTTGGCAGAAGGGGATCTCAGACTTAGTGACGGCGAGGAGGTGGAAGACTTGCAGCAGCTTCAGTTTGGCGGAGACGCAAATGGCAGTTCAGTCGACGACGTAAATTTATTGGAATCGCTTGACATCGACGACGACAATTTGGCACTCTCTCCAGTGCTCGGTGCAGTGGAGGACGGCCCACATGATCATTTCTCGGATGACGATATCAACTTGCTTTTGGCCAGGGCTCGTGACCTGGCTCAAGATGATGCACAAACTGATGTCAGTGCCTCTGCTTTGATGATTGCGGCATTGACTGACGCACACCCTCATCCAGTCGGCAAGGATCCAAAGGACATTGTGACGCCAAAGAATAGACGCCAAATGCTCAAAAGTGACGAGCGTGACCTCTGGATCGAGGCAGAGCAGCGAGAGATTGCAAACTTGCTGGAACGCGGCACTTGGGAACTCGTCGATACCGAGCCAGGCCAACCAGTAATCGGAAACATGTGGCGATACAAGCTCAAATTGAACCCAGATGGCTCGATCGACAAATTCAAGGCGCGCCTTGTCGCGCACGGGGACCAGCAAGAGGAGCATGTTGACTTCTCGGAGACCTTTGCTCCGTTGCAAAGTTCACCACGATTCGCACCCTGCTAGTCATTGCTGTCAACAAGGGTTTGAAGGTCTGGCACATGGACGTTGTTGGCGCTTACTTAAATGGATACTTGTCAGAGAAGGTCTTCATGCACGAGCCAATTGGCTATGAGAGTGGAAATGGCGCTGTTTGCCGTCTCAAGCGCACGCTATATGGTCTCCGACAGTCTGGTCGCGAGTGGTATATTGTCATGTCGGAGTTCCTGTTGTCCTATGGATTCCTGCGATGCGAGCATGAGCAAGGCTTGTTTGTTCTCAGAGGTGGAGATATTCGGCTTGTCCTCTATGTCGACGATCTATTGATGATTGCTGAGAACGACAGCGCCCTGGCTGATTTCAAACAGGCATTGTCAACAAAGTGGGACATGACAGACCTTGGTATTGCCACACAATTTTGTGGCATGGAGCTATCCTACGCTTCTGATGGCAGTATCACCCTGAGTCAAGCACGTTACTGTCGGGAGATTTTGAAGCGCTTTGGACTCGAGTCTTGCAATGGTACACACACACCAATGATGAGCGGCCTATCGCTCTCTCAAGCAACATGTGATCCCACACCAGCCGAACGAGAAGAGATGGCAACCATGCCGTACATGGCCGTCATCGGGAGCTTGATGTACCTTATGACCGCAACACGACCAGACTTGGCACACTCCATGGGCGTCCTAAGTCGTTTCATGGCAAAGCCGAGTTATGAACATTGGCGGGCAGCGAAGCAACTCCTACGCTATGTGCAGCACACGAAGGATGTAGGTCTTGTCTTCAAGAAGGGCGACTTGGATGTGCACGTGTACTCAGACTCCGACTATGCCGGCGACCTTGACAACAGCAAGTCAACCAGTGGGTACATTGTCATGCTCGGCCCAAACTGCGTTTCTTGGAGCAGTCGGAAGCAGGAAGTCATTGCGCAGTCTACAACGGAGGCAGAGTACATTGGGCTGGCCAACGCGACAAAGGAGCTCGAATGGGTCAAGATCATCGTGCAACACCTACTGCACGACTTCAAAGCCACCGATGCGCGCTTGACATTTCACATCCATGGCGACAATCAGGGTGCTATCGCCTTGGCAAATGATGCTCGCTTCCACACCCGCACCAAGCACATACGGACGAAATATCACTTTGTGCGAGACTGTGTACGGCGTGCTCGCATGTCACTCGGATACGTTGCTACTGGAGACATGATTGCAGATCTGACAACCAAAGCACTAGGTCGGCAGAAATTGCAAAAGTTCATGGCAATGCTCGGCCTTCGTCGCAAGACTAGCTAGCCTCATGGACGACAATGAGCTAGGTGGAGTGTTGTGTTGAGACGTTGATTGTTTCAGGAGCTCATTGATGATGCGACGATCAGGGGCCCAAGCTGACACGCTGGCAGGTTGAGGACATAAGTAGAGCGGCTGCGCTGCCTTTAGTCTAGCAGAGGACTAGTAAACTCAAGATGCACCTGCGCACAACACTTCACCTGATTCTATATCCCCTCTCGGATCATAGCTTTGCGTCTATCAACACTGCGCCTAGCTTCCTGAGGTCTACATGGAGATCTATCGTCGACCCATGCCTGTGACCCCGAGCCTTCGCGACAGCAGCATTCGATATTTCACTGTCCCCATCGAGACTCGAACTTCGGATTGACTCATACACCTGTTGGACTGGGACGACTATCCCGCTGCACCACAAAAGCTCTCAAGCATTCGGATACAGGGTCAGTGCTCCATATACCATTGCACCTGCGCACAACACTTCACCTGATTCTATATCCCCTCTCGGATCATAGCTTTGCGTCTATCAACACTGCGCCTAGCTTCCTGAGGTCTACATGGAGATCTATCGTCGACCCATGCCTGTGACCCCGAGCCTTCGCGACAGCAGCATTCGATATTTCACTGTCCCCATCGAGACTCGAACTTCGGATTGACTCATACACCTATTGGACTGGGGACGACTTTCCCGCTGCACCACAAAAGCTCTCAAGCATTCGGATACAGGGTCAGTGCTCCATATACCATTGCACCTGCGCACAACACTCGGATCATAGCTTTGCGTCTATCAACACTGCGCCTAGCTTCCTGAGGTCTACATGGAGATCTATTGTCGACCCATGCCTGTGACCCCGAGCCTTCGCGACAGCAGCATTCGATATTTCACTGTCCCCATCGAGACTCGAACTTCGGATTGACTCATACACCTGTTGGGCTGGGGACAACTTGACCGCTGCACAACAAAAGCTCTCAAGCATTCGGATACAGGGTCAGTGCTCCATATACCATTGCACCTGCGCACAACAGACGGTAGAATTCCATGAAAATCTCAGGAAGCTAGGCGCAGTCTTGATAGACGCAAGCTATGATCGGAGAGGGAATAGAATATCAGGTGGAGTGTCGTGCGCAGGTGCAATGGTATATGGAGCGCTGACCCTGTGACCGAATGCTTTAGAGCTTTTGTGGTGCAGCGGGAATGTCGTCCCCAGTCCAACATTTGTTTCAATTATCTTCGCACTGCCCCACCAGATCTATACGGTACGCTACGCATTCTTATACATCATCCCTATTTCTCCGCGACGATTTTGTCTACGATATGCTAAACACTACGCATTGTTATAGATCATCACCAATTCTCCGCGACACTTAACGCTTGCACGCATCATCACCGTTCTACCGCAACGACGTTGTCATCTCACCTGCACTGCAGCATCATGTCTCGTCATCGCCTATCTTAATGTCAAGTCAAAGCAACAACGCATCTGACACGCTTTCCAATTTTGTCTTCGTTGTCGTCGTCTGAAACGCTCTGCATATACTCTCGCAGGTGAAATGGTGTATGGTCTTCGGATGCTTAGGTATTTCGCTGTTCAGCTGATACTGGGATTCCTTGCTATGTTACTATTAGACCTTGCCACCTTTATATACTTGCGCTCATGGAAGCTGCTGGAACATCTGTTGTGTTCATGGAAGCCAAGAAAACATCTATTGTTCTATTGCTTTCGCTTGCTTTCTGTGTTGTTCCATGATGGTCGCTCACAGACATGCGATTTACCCCTGCCGATCACATCGTGAAATTCTTCGGGTGTTTAGGTGTTTCGCTGTTCAGTTGATACTGGGATTCCTTACTATGTTACTATGAGACCTTGCCACCTTTATATACTTGCGCTCATGGAAGCTGCTAGAACATTTGTTTTGTTCATGGAAGCCAATAGAACATCTGTTGTTCTATTGCTTTCTTTTGCTTTCTGTGTTGATCCATGATGGTCGTTCATAGACATGCGATTTGCCACTGCCGATCACGTCATGAGATCTTGACCGCGAGTAGTATCACCTCCAACAGAGATATTGACCGCGAGTAGCATCACCTCCAATATATGGTACACTGACCCTGTTTTCGAATGCTTGAAAGCTTTTGTGGTGCAGCGGAAAACTAATCCCCAGTTCAATATCGCACAGATAGGCAACAGTACCAGTGCAAGTGTTGTGCGCCGGGAATTCTGAGCGTGCGACACTGCCAACGCATGCACTAGTACAGCAATTTCGTAACGATAACAACAGTAAGAACACCCTTCGTTACATTAATGCCTTTGCAATCAATGCCCTATTCGTCAGGCATCTGCCATGCATTCGCTACCGCTCTACAGCGTTGACCAGCGCTTCACAAATATTGCGATGAATGAAACTCTCGAGACAAAGTATTAAATAATCTCGCATTGGAAGCAACAACGTCATTATTTAAGCAATGTTATTGTATCGTTCAATTTGTTCGGCAGGCCTTTGATTTATGCTAGCATCTCTCACCTACACGTTTGCGATTTCATTGCTATGCAATATGAGTCGCCTTAAATTTGTAATTTGAAATAAGATCATTGTTGCTGTTGGACCGGGGTTGACTTTCCCGCTACACCACGAAACCTCTCGAGCATTCCGACAAAGGATCATTGTTTCATATACCATTTCACCTGCGCATAACAGTTGCAACAGTCGATGTTGGAGCTGATGCTGTACTCATTCAAAATTTCGCGACATGATTGTTGTGCGCAGGCAATGATTGGCAGTGACAATCCGCAAGTCGACGGACGATCACTGTGGCGCAATCCAGAAAGCAAAAAACAGAAAATTTCTCATCGCCTTTTTTCAGAAGAACAAGCGTTCCTTGCACCTTCTATAAGCGCAAATACACGAAGGTGGCATGAACTCACAGCAAAAGGTTAAAAAGCTACAGGAGCTGAACAGTCAAATGCTTACAATTCCCTATCGTTTTTGACCTATCCAAAAGATGTGAGACAACTCCGTTTCGAGGAAGGTCTGATCAGACTTTTGGTTGATTATTGAGTTTACGAGTCCTCTGCTTAAAGTTGGCAGCTGCGCCCCTCCACTCAATTGCTTAACAGCGTGCCAGCAGCGTCCTTGGCATCACAACAGCCATGAGCTCACGAAACAATGTTTGTTGTGCGCAGGAGAGTCCGAGCATGAGACTCGAGCTCAAAACAATATTTGATTGATGAGTTGAAGCCGCCAAACTCAAGACTAGCACAATGTTGTTGTGCGCAGGTGCAATGGTATATGGAGCACTGACCCTGTATCCGAATGCTTGAGAGCTTTTGTGGTGCAGCGGGAAAGTCGTCCCCAGTCCACAGTGAAATATCGAATGCTGCTGTCGCGAAGGCTCGGGGTCAAAGGCATGGGTCGACGATAGATCTCCCTCAGGAAGCTAGGCGCAGTGTTGATAGACGCAAAAGCTATGATCCGAGAGGGGATATAGAATCAGGTGAAGTGTTGTGCGCAGGTGCAATGGTATATGGAGCACTGACCCTGTATCCGAATGCTTGAGAGCTTTTGTGGTGCAGCGGATGCAGAGCTATAGGCGGATTTGGGTGCTTGCGACTTGATGGTTATCTACGATTCTGATGTGCTGGCCTTTATATATTGCCAGCTGGCAGGTCTTGATGTTCAGATGGTACATCCAGCCCTTCACCGCACAACACTTGACCTGGTTCCATATCCCCTCTTGCCTCTCTACCAACTCCAAGCATCGCTTTGAAGGGTTAGGGGTTAGGGTTAGGGGTTAGGGTTAGGGTTAGGGTTAGGGTTAGGGTTAGGGTTAGGGTTAGGGTTTAGGGTT